ACTGTGAACACACAGCTCCTCATCTGTAAAGGGTCCTTGTAGTATCTACCTTGCAGATTGCTCTGCAGATTACATGAGAGAGTATGTGCTTGGCACAGGGGGAGCCCTCAAAGAATGGCCTCCTGACAGTCTCTGACACTTCCAGGAAAGGCAGCAGCATACCCTCCTCACTCCAGAGTTGGATCCTTCTCCCCTGACAACCCGCCAGCACCTGTTCCTCCCCATCCGCTCAGCTGCTGACCTTGGCTCATGCCCTCTGAGAAAATAGAAGCAATTTTCAGATGAGAACTCCCTCATTCCTCATCTTCCCACCACCAGATCCACTGGTGACTGCATCTTTATTCATAGTTTTGGCTTCCTTACTGCTGTACTGGAAAAACTATTCCTGTTCCCACCGATTGCTCTGGATCCTTTGCTGTCTCGTCCTCATAATGACTCTGCTCCTGAAATTATGCCCTGTCTCCTGAATTATTGATTTCTTCCTCTCTACTGGGTCATTCCCATCAGCATACAAACAGGATGTATTATATTTTGCTCTAAAATGCCAAGTTCTCCCCTGTACCCCTTCTCTTTCCCCCCATCTTCAGCTCCATTTATTTTCTCAGTCTGCCCAGCATCACTGTTCTCTGGACCCTGTACTGCCTGTCCTGGAATGGGCCCGTTCACCAGTGACACACAGCAGACCCAGGGCGTCCAAGACTGAAAGTCCTAGCTCAGGAGGAGGAGGTTTCTAGGTTCTTTGATGATGCATATTGCAATTTCATTGCTTGCTTTAACTGGCAATATTTTTTTTTTCTGTTTATAAACTTACACTCACGGTAGACAACTCCTAAGCCATGGAAAAATTACAAAAAACAAAATTAAAATCAATCATATCCTATTACCAAAGAGAAACATTTTGGTGTGTTTTCTTACATTTATTTGTAATTTTCCCCTCAGCGTGTACATTTTTTAAAAACAATTCATTTATTACACACACACACACACACATACACACACACACTGTGTGTGTGTGCCATGCACCATCCTCAACAATGGGATGTAGCAAGGTAGAAAAGGCCCCTGCTTCGGAGTAGAGAGAGACAGTGAGCAGTTCCAGACCTTGCTGAGCACCGTCATACAAGCAGAACCCACGTGTTTGAGACTCAGGACAAAAAGTGTGGAGGGAGAGATGACTGACCACAGGTGCTCCGAGAACTGAGTTCCTCAGGCTGGAGAGTAGATTCTGGGTAGGAGGAAAGTGGTGATCTGAAAGATGAGAGGTCATCAAGGCCAGATGACCAAGGACCTCTTACACTGTGGCTGGGAGTGGGGACTTCCTTGTAATGACAGCAAGTGGTCTTGGAAGGGTTTTAAACGAGGGAAGTGACTAGATCTGAGGTCCCTCTGGCTGTTTTGGTCTAATGGATAGAAGGGAGCACAGCTGAAGGAAGAAAGACCAGTTTGGAGGCTATTGCAATCTTCTAGGCCACGAATGGTGTGGCTTGGGCATGGAAGGGCTGGGGATGGAGCAGTTGGGGGAGGGGAATAAGAGAACAGACCCAAGAAACATTGAGGGTGACTCAGGTCTTTGGTGCTGGATTGAATCTGGAGTGGAGTTGGTGAGGGAGGAGGCAACTGTTCTTGTTTCATTGTAGTCTTTCTGTACATATTGTTTGACAACATTTTTCCTTAAATATATCATGAATACTTCCCCATGTTTCTAAGCATCCTCTGTAATATGGTTTATAATAGTTATGAGTCTGTAATTACATTTAATGTACTATCATTTACTTAACCAAACCTCTACAGTTCGCCACTCCCTATTTCTCATTCTTCTCTAGAGCAGAAGCAAGCTCATACATCTAGTCAAATATAGTGAAGTACCTTGGAAAACCTCTTAAGTCATCCATAACGTACAGTATTCACTGTTTTGTATGCGCACCATGTATACTCATGTATATGTGTAAAGATATAATGTGCAGCCTATAATAAAGAAGATACATACGAAAAAGGACTTTAGACTACTGTTTAAATGGCCGCTTTCTTTACATGTTTCTGAACACAGGTAGCAGAATTTACGTAAGTTGAAGGACCCATTTGTGTGACTCCACAGTGTTCTTCACAATACTCCTAAGAGCTCGCATGTACTTCTGTGGGTTGGCGGATTGTTTCATTAGTCTCGTTCTGCACCCCTTCTGTCCACACCCTTTGCCATGTGGCACTCCCCAGCCAAGGCTGTGCATTTGGGGCAGCCTCCGGCCCAGGACTGAGCAGGGCAGGGAAAGGCACTAGGGCCTGCTACTCCTGCCCCCCAGGACCCCTCTGAGAGGGCCATTCTTGCTCTGGATTTCCCTGTGAATTTGGCCAATTCAGGGGTGTGTCAGCATCACAGTTCTGCTCATCCTACTTTCTCCACCTTTTCCTTTTCACAGGTGCTACCCCCAGTACTTCTCTTGCATGCCTAACTCTACCTCTATTGGCTTCTGGACCAGCCACAGACTCACCATCCTACACCTCCCAAGCCTGGTGCTGATGGGAGGGCCTGAGAAGATCCAGTACGCAGAGGGCTCAGTGGGGCCAGTGTTGGGGGATGGTGAGCTGGGAAGAGTCTTGAAGGGTGACTGCAACGAAGGCTGAGTGCCTATTGTGTGCCAGACACCACTTTAAATGCTGTCTTTTTGCTTATTATTTCAATGAATCCTCACAAGAACTCTATGAGGAAGGAACTGTTACTATTTGTTTTACAGGGAAGGAAACTGGGCCTGGAGAGGCTGGACGGCTTTCTTGAGCAGGTGCCAGAGCCATTGCACAGCAGCACCAGGACCCTAACCTGGACCGTGGAACTTCAAAACTTTTGTTCTCAGCCACACCTCTATGATCTGCTGCTGGGCAATGCCCTGTGGGGTTCCCTGCTGGGTGGGGAAGCAGCAGGAGGGCTTGTGCACAGGGTTTTTTTTTTTTTTTTTTTTTTTTTTTTCTGAGAGTCCCGCCATCTCTGTCCTGCCCAGCCAGTCTGCCCAGAGCTGCAGGCCACAGCCAAGAATGGAGAGTAGCGGGGAGGAGACATTTCAAGTGGACAGTGCAGCCAAGCCTCCTGCCACAGAATCATGTGGAGGCCATGCCCCACATTCAGCAGCCCCAGATGGCGCCTTGGTGCTGATTTTACCCAATTCCTCTTCAGCCTCATCATCATCCACAAAACCAGTGTCCTGACACACAGCAGCCATGTGCATACGGCAGCCCCTGTGGATCTGAAAGAGAAATTTCTTCAGCTTGGCACAGCCTGAGAGTTATGGGAGGAGTCATCTGGCAGAGGAGCCAGCAGCAGCAACCCTCCTTTCTCTCAATCTTATTGGTGCCAGACAGACCTGGGTTTGATTCCCAGTTCTGCCCTTCTTAGGTATCTCTCCTCTGTAAACTAATTTTATCAGTTGTGCATAACAAGCCACCCCCAAATCTAGTGGTGGTAAGCCACAGCCATTTGTGATTTCCCAAGAGTTTGTGGGTCAGTTGGTCAGATAGTTCTTCTGCTGTGGGCTGGACTTGACCAGCTCAGCTAGGCTCACTAATGCAGCTGTGGTTAGCTGTGAGCCAGCTGATGAACAATGGCCTCAGCTGGAGCAACTGGGCCCCCTCCACGTGCTCAGTGCCCCTGCCCCGTAACTGTCAGTCTTGTTTTCATAACACAGCTTGGATTCCAAGGCAGAGCAAGTGAGTTCAAGGTCCCTTGAGGCCCAGGCTTGAAACTGCTTCCCGGCACTTCTGCCACTTCGTTGGCCAAAGCAAGTATCGAGGCCAGCCCAGAGTCAAGGTGTGGGAAGCAGACCTTGCTTCTGGGGAAAGGAGCTGCAGTCACATTGCTAGTGCTATGCATATAAGGGGAGCAGAGTGCAGCCAGCATGCCACATTGCTTTCCCACTCTGAGGCTGAGTTTGCTCATTTATAAAATGGGAATAATATTAATTATATAATGTGATGCCCTAATGCAAAGGAAATTGGCTACAATTTAGTCAGGAATAGGCTGAGGCAGCCTGTCAGCGCAGCATGACTCAGTGGGTTTGGAGTGCAGGTGCACAACTCCAAACGTTATGGAACCGCATCATGCAAGGCATATGATGTAACCATTCATGTGTGCTCGTGCTTGGCTGGGAGCCACTGTTGCCTGTAAAAGGTATAACTACCTTGCTGAGGCTGTATATACAGCTTGTGTCCACAGCTCACCTGTGCGCAGAGAAGGAATAAAGCCATGTTGAAACTCCCTACGATTTCTGGAGTGTTCTTCCAGCTTCTTACCACTCACCCACTAATTCTCTCGGACCTCAGTTAAAACCTGACACCAAGTGTTCTGTGTTCTTGAGATGGTTGATCAGTTGTTGCCACAAGAAGGGACACAGGAGAGGCTCAGGAAAACAAAATCTTCTATGCAAACAGGTCCTGAAGCCACAGAGTCACTGCATGCCAAGAGGGGGGTCACATCTTCCCCACCCTTTAAGGTCCAGTTCAAATTGTGCTTTCTTCAAAAAACCTTTTTGATTACTCTCACTCCAGATAAATATTTCCATTCTCTTAATCTGTAAATCCCACTCATGTATGGAAGGAAAGATCAGTGAGACTCGAAGATTGATTTCAGGCTTACAATGTGGTTTGCAACATGGAGAGTGGGCTTATCCCAGCAGGCAGGGAGCTGAGAGAGAGCGAGGACCTGTGGGGCAGGCAGAGTCAGGGTAGAGCACACAGCACAGGGCCTAAGAGAGTTCACGTGTGTGCTAGAATGTTACCAGGTCACAGTCAGGGGAGGACGAAAAGGGGGAGGGAGAGCTCACCATGAGAGATATGTCTCAATGACTGAAGAGATGGTCAAGACTAAGGTTGACCTTAGGTGACCTTCACCTTTTGCATCACCACCTCCACCCCCACTTTCCCTTGGCTGTAGATCTGAGAGAATTCAATGAAATGTGTGTATTGAGTGGGCACATCAACGGGGATGGGAGATATGAACACAGTGACACTCAGCTACAGCCAGAAATGTTGAGCTTTATTGATGGCCTTTCTCCAGAGGCTGCTCAGTTTCCCCAGGAAACTCCTCAGAGATCCTCTGCTTTCCCATGTGTGGGCCCAAGGACACCTTGGGAGCAGAGCAGTGAAAGGGCTTCCTGGTCAGGTGTTGCACTCCACGCCTGCATCCTCACTGTGGCTGCAGTCGTGAGAGCCCCAGCTTTTCTTGTTGCAGGTCCACAAGGTCTTCTCTGTGCCCTGACACTGGACATTATCCAGCCAGATCTGCCCAGTGCCTTGATAGAGAGAAAGCAAGAGAGGATTAGAGTCAAAACAAAGCAGCCGAGTCTCCAGCATCCAAAGACAACTCCCCCAAGTTTTAGTAAGTCCCTGCTCTGATTTGGTTTCTCTTCCCTTCCCATGTTCTCTTTAAAGATGATCATAACCAAGACTGCTGGTCAATCCGGGTTGCTGGTTTGCAGACAGTCGGAGTGAATGTCTGTGTTTGCCCGCCCTGCATCTTCTCTCTGTTCTTCCAGTCCCAGCAACTTGGCTGTCCTTTGGAGAGCCGCCCCTGGCAAACACCCTCAGCTGTGTGGCATTCTGACTCCAGGGCCGGATGGACATTGACCAAAGCCAGGCCAGCCTTCACTGTCAGCTCTGGTGAAGACAGCTCATCTTTCTGGTGGGGTTGCCAAACTGGAAGGACACACACCTGGAGCTCTGTGCTATAGAACTTTTTGGTTGCTTGGACTAATACTTTTCTTTTAAGGCAAACCACATTGAGTCACTTGTCAACACCCCACCAGCGAGAGAAAGCCACATCAACACCCCTGGGAAGAGACCCCTGACTAGCAAATCACTTACCAGGTCCCACTTGATACACGGCCCTTCCTCTGGAGAAACCCAACATGCGGCAGAAGACAACGGCGTCATGATTGTCCCAGTCATCATCACAAATGGTCCCCCAGCTACCTCCGTAGTAAACTTCAGCCCGGCCTCGGTTACCACTGCCAACAATCCTGACGGGCAGTGAGTTGTCACCTGGGTGAAGAAACACACGTGGGAGAGGAAAGGAAGGCCCCTTGGGGCTTGGGTAAATGCAGGCTCTTTGTTTTCATTTTAAAGGTTCTATAGTTAAGGAAAAGAAATGGCCCTGCTTAGATGTCACCAGAGCCTGGAACATCCCACTTTATAGCACCAACCCAACCTGGCATGAAGCCTCCTTGCACCTGGGGCCTGCAGGCGCAAGACTAGGGCACAGGTGCTCCTGTGGCTGGTTTGTAAATCGCATATACCATGTCTTGTCATGCGTTGTGGAGAGAAAAAAGAAAAGTTGAGAAAAGAGAAGGAAGGAAGGTAAGAATGGAGGGAGAGAGGAAGGGAGAGAGGGAGTGGAAAGGAAGGGGAGAGGGAGAGGAAGGAAAGAAGGAAAAGAAGGGAGGGAGGGAGAGAGAAATGGAAAGAAAGAATGAGAGAGAGGGAGGGAGTGGCGGGGGAGGGAGACTGCTGCTCTGTGCCTGTGTGCCCTGGGCAGGTTTATTCAAGGGACTAGACCATTCAAGGGACTTTTCCCCAAAATGAGAAATTTCTTTGAGAACCAAGGTCTCTTCCCCCAAAAACACAACACACAGAATTGACTTGAAAGCCCACATTAATGAGAATATAAATAGTGATTACCTGTTTCACCTTTGGCTCCCTTTACTCCTTGCTCCCCTGGAGATCCTGTCATGAGGAGGAAACCCACATGGTTTGAAGGAAACCCAGGCAGGACCCTTTTGCCTGCACTTGCAGGAGTGGGGAGCAGGTAGAGGGGTGGGGGTGGTCAGACTCTCCCTGGGTCTCGCCTGTGGCCTAGCATTATGGAGACAAGGACATCCTGCTGGTGTCAATGAATGAGCAGGAAGAAACGGGCCTGAGCCACAGCAAGAGGGGTTGAAGTTAGATTGCAGAGGGACACTTGGTCCCGTCAGAGACATGGTGTGGGATGCATGCATCTCCTTTATGGAAACCGCCTAGGGGCATTGGGTTGTGGGGCATGCTTCAAACGCACGTTCATGTTCCTGCCTCAGATGCTAGAGCTGCGCCTTTCTCACTGCTGTGTGCTCCATGCTGAGGGCAATCCCCAGGGCAAGGCTTGTCAATTAAAGAAATAAACTTCTACCCTCCTGGGTTCTGTAAACCCCCAAAACTCTTAAAACAGGGCCTTTCCTACTTTAAGGTACAGAACTGGCTGTAAAGCATAATCCTAAGAACCAAGGAATCAGATGCAGAGGCCTTACCTTTTGCTCCCTTGTCTCCCTTCTGGCCAGCTGGTCCAGGGGCTCCCTTGGGGCCGGCCAGCCCCGGGCTTCCCCGTTCTCCCTTCACACCTGGAGGGCCTGGGAGGAGAGACACTAGTCAGCTCTGCCTTCCCAAGAGAGACCCAAGGGCCTTGCTGTTTAATAAATGAGTTATCCTCAGCTGCCAGGCCTCCCCCATGGCTGGGCTGCTTGAATGTTCAGTCTGTCTTTGGTCCCACTGGGGGCTGCACTGATCTCTCAACTCTTAGGTGAATGCTGTTGAGAACAGGCAGGTTGAAATAGCTGTGGTGGTATTCCACAGGTTGTTGGTTCTTCTGGAATTACATAGTTATGTGGAAGTTCCAGCTATGCTGGGAGAATTGGCTAGAATGTTCCTAAGCCTCACTGTCTCCTTCAGTGAATTAAAACAGTAATAGAGGCCAGGTGCAGTGGCTCACTCCTGTAATCCCAGTGCTTTGGGAGGCCGATGTGGGAGGATCACTTGAGCATGGGAGGCCAAGGCTGCAGTGAGCTATCATGGCACCACTACACTCCAGCCTCGGCAACACAGACACTTTGTCTCTAAAAATTTAAAAAAAAAAAAAAAAAGTAGTAGAATATCTAGCTTATGAGGAAGAAAAGGTGCTCAAGCAACGTGTCTGAAAAATCTTGCTTTTGCACTCACACAGGCAGGGCTGTTGAGAGGCCTAGAAATGCCCTGCAGCTGGGCCAGCTCAGTGCCCAGCTGAAGCACAGGCCCTGGAGGTAGGGATAAGAATAAGAAAGCCCAGCAAGAGGCAGTGGGAGGCAGAGAGGAAAGGCTTGGGGGCCACAGCTGAGGTGGGGAAGCAGCAGCCGTGGACTGGAGTGGAAGGGGCACAGCTCCATGGCGGCTGCACAGCCTGGAGCTCTGCCTGCACCCCCAGCTCCCCTGACATTTTTACCCTTTGCCTCCTCAGCCCTTGCCCCACACCCTACACCCCTCAGGATGCTGAGTTCCTGTTGTTCCCCGGGTTTTGCAGCCGAGAGATCTGAGGCTTGAGTGACAGAGCCCTGGAGTCTTAACCTCCACTTTGGGGGAAGGTCACAGATGCACATTCAAAGTCAACAAGACCTGCCCTCTGAGTAAGCGGACCTTCTTCCCCGTCATCACTCTGAGAGATAAAAATGCAGCCAGCCCTTTACCTGGAACTCCTGATTCTCCTTTACTTCCTTGCTGTCCTTGAAGTCCTAAGATCAAAACAAAAAAAGGAGGGAGGAGATAATAAAACTTAGATATTAGACATTTTTAATCTTAGACAACTTCTACCTTTTGTCTGATTAATGCAGATGGAAAGATACATTGGTTCTCCACGATGGTTTAAAGCCTCTTCAGCAGATCATAAAAAGAGACAGTCTGCAGATGAATGAGAACAGGTGTGTTGGGGTGAAACAGCAAGGTACTGATGAAAGCCTGGGTTAGACAGACCCCAGATGCACCGCTGGCCTTCCCTGTCCACCAATAACCTGACCTGGTGTCTAAATCCAATCCCATTCCCTGCTATTGCATTTATATTGGAAGAGAATTGGGAGATGTTCAAAAAATAAAGTTATCTTCATGGCCAAAAGACTGTGGAGGGGACTCAGTGGCCACCAGGAGCTGTGGGGGTCCTTGCCCATAGTAGATGCTCTATAAGTATTTGTTGGTTTATTTCATTGTGGTCCCCAGTGGCTAAAGACTCATGGCTAAAGAGTCTAATATACAGAAAATGGAAAAATCATAACCACAATCATTGATGATTGTTCCTGTTGTAGTTAATGTTAAAGGTCCCCCTTCCCTCCCTCCCTTTCTTCCTTCCTTCCATCCATTCATCCTTTTTTTTTTTTTTTTCAGTAAACTTTCATGGAAGACCCACTGTCCCCAGCACCCTGCTAGGTCACTGTGAAATAATAATAATTTGTTCATTTAGCAAGATCATGGCCTCTTGATTTTAAGTGCCAATATTCATTCTATTTCAGAGAAATGGGACTCCTCAAGGCTGTTGCACAAACTTGGGGAAATGCAAGCTCATTACTGACTATCAAGTAACAGTTACTAGAGGGTAATGAGGGGAACAAAAACAGTGAGTCATAAATATCTGTGCCCTCGGACAAGCAGGGAGCTCAGGTCAATGTCTTTGCAGTTGCCTAGGGGAAGTTTCTGCCTGCGCTGCCCTGCCTCTCACTTCAGTCCCTGGATTTCCCAAACACCTGCAGTGTGCTGGTCAGTGGAGGGCGAGGCAAGGGGCTGGCAGGCTTCTTCAGGGCCCCTTCTTGGAATAATCAGCAAGATAAACTGTGACTTCCGGAACATTTCAGATCCCGCCCAAGGCTTGGCGCTGCCTGGGGAGGAGGGTTGGAGAGCCAAGGAGCTGAGAGCTGCCACTGCAGACCAGGGCAACAGGACAAGTGGGAAGCACTAGAAGATTCTGAAAGGGCAGCTACTTCTGTTCCTCGTTTTAGGGAAGGGGACAGAACTGAAGCTGGGATAGGTTCTTGTAAGAGACGGAGGTGCCTTAGAGGTCAGCCCCTGGCAGAGAGGCCCCAGCTGACCCAGGGCCATTTGTGCACACACTTGTCTCTCTGAATAGAATGCCTCACCTGTTTGGTTCACCTGGAGAACTCGTAAACTCTGCAAAGATGTCAGATGTCATCACCTGTGAAGCCTTCCCTGCCTCGCCCAAGGCATGATATCCTTTTCCCAAGGCAGTAAAGCAAAGTGATTCCACAGTCTGACAGCCTGGGCTTGAGTCCACTTCTGTCTTGTACTGACTTTGTGACCTTGAGCCAGGTGTCCCTGCTCTGAGCCTCCGTTTCTTTCTCTGAGGCTCCTTGTTGCCTCCTAAAGCACTAGTGAGGCTGAAATGAAATCATGTGCTTCAAGTGCTGAGCCCCATGCCTGGCCAGTGCTGAATAAATGATGTCACTGGACGCTGTGCCCCTTCCAGGTGGGAGCACCTGAGGCACTGGAGTTGAGCCCACACACGAGCACCAGGATTGCTGCACAGCAAGCACCCAGCAAATGTCTGCTATTGACCTGAAAGGCTTAGCTGAGCTTGCCCAGCAGAAGCGACATACGTTTCCCTTCAGCTTACCTGCATTTGAACAGCATATGTTAAGATTGGTGGGGAGAAAGATCACATTCTATATGTCTATTATGGTGATGAAGTAGGGAACAGTCCATACCCAGGGAAGTCACAGTATTTTGGGGTCCCTGAACCTTGCTTCTAGGGACACGCTCTTAAGGTAGAGAGCGTAGAACATGGCCCCCTCTGGGACGCAGACAGAAGGGGCCGAGTCTGGATGTGGGCCGTTTCCTACTTAGTCACCATCGTAGATATATAGAATGTGATTTTTCTCTCTACCTGTCTTGACATAATGCTGTTCAGATACAGGAAATCAGAAGGGACCTCAAGATACTGTGACCCCCTGTTTATCATGGCCACCCAAAGAGATGCGCTTCTCCAACCGCCCTCTAAAGCACTGCACAGCAAACACCCTCTAAAGACAGGAATCATAGGAAAGCCCCTGTTCACCAGGTCCGTGGCCCCACGCCTGACCCTCCCTCTTCATTTCCCATACTCTCCCTTCCTAGCTCCTCACTTCCAGGGGACTCAGCATTTTCTGCTGCTTGTATTGTGCCAGGCACTGTGCCAGGGACTTTATGTACATTACATTGTTTGATCTTTCAGCCACCCTCTAAGGCAGTGTGATCTCCCTCCTTTATAGGGGAGGAAATACACACTCAGAGATGCTAGATGAGTTATCCAAGGTCACATAGGAGTGAATGGGGAAGTCAGGGATGTCATCCAGGCCCAACCTCCCACAGTTCCCGGAAAGCACCTTTGTTCCACCAGTACCAGGCTCACGCCTCTCTGGAGTTTCACTTGGTCCATCCATTTGGTTCCCAAGACATCTCCAGCCTCCCTGGGGCCATTTCTTCCCCCCGAAACAGGAGTAGTCGAACTAGATCATACATCAGAATTACCTGGGTGGGTCTTGTTAGCTAACAACTTGTTAGGTCCCACTCAGAGTCATTGGTTCAGAGATCTGGGGTGGGAATCCAAGAATCCACGTAACTAACAAGTTCCCAGGAGATGCTGATGCCGCAAGTCCGAGGACCACATTTTGAGTAGCACAGCCCTAAACAACTCTCACTTATTCTTGAAGGACCAGTTCACGCCCCACCTCCTTTGAGCAGCCTTCCTTGTCTCTGTGGGAATTCATAGCCCCCTTTCATATCTGAACCCACAGTTCACATGGCAGAGGCTGGACCTTGATGAAATGCTTTCTAATATGTGTTTAATGGACATTGGAAATTAGAATTGAGGGTTGTGTGATTTCTCTCCAAACCTCACTGGACTCTGAGAGGATGTTGGCTGAGTGGCTGTTCATAGACTAATCAATGGAGGAACTAGTCATTACTTCACTACAAATCAGGGCAGCATCCTGCTAAGATCAGCTCCTGCATGGTAGAGGGAGAAATGACTGAAAAACAGGTTCTAGAGCTGCGTGTTGTAAAACTACACTGGATAGCAAATGAATGCTGGATTTTTCTTCTTAACCATAAGCAAACTGGCTTTCCCTGAGTATCACAAGCTTATCAAGCTGACAGGGCTCCAAATATTTACTTGCAAAGTGTTTTTACAGAAATAATTTTCCCCCAAGAAAAGTATGTTAATTTAGAAAACACATGCCTTCCAGTCATTTAGTGTTGAGCTGGTGTTCTGACTAAAGTCTTCCATTGTTCCTGTTCCCAGGAAAGCTGCTTGTTTCAAACCCAGAGTGCTGTGAAACTGTCAGGGACCTGGTGTTCTTCTACATTGCTTGCACATCACAGAAAAGGAAACTGAGGTTCAACAAAATCAAGTAACTGAGCCTGTGGTCACCCAGCTGGTCAGTGGTAAGTTCAAGTTGAGGCTCAGATCTCTGATTCTGAGTTAAATGTAGAAATTTCCAACACATTAAGAAATTTTTCTTCCTTTCGTTTTTCCTTTCCTTTCCTTTCTTCCCTCCTTCCCTTCTTTCTTTTCTTTCCTTTTTTCTCTTTCTTTCTCTCTTTCTGTTTCTTTCCCTCCCTCCTTCCCTCCCTCCTTCCCTCCCTCCCTTCCTCCTTCCTCTCTCTCTCTCCTCTCTCTCTATATATATTTCTCTCGACAGGGTCTCACTCTGTTGCTCAGGCTGGAGTGCAGTAATGCAATCATAGTTCATTGCAGCCTCAAGTTCTTGGGCTCAGGTTATTCTCCTCCTCCTCCTCCTCCAGCCTCCTGAGTAGCTGAGACTACAGGTACATGCCATTATGTTCAGATAATTTTTAAATGTTTTCTAGGGAGGGGGCCATTGCTGTCTTGCCCTGGCTGGGGAAACTTTCTTTTTCTTTCTTCTTCTTCTTTTTTTTTTTTTTTTTTTTTTTTTTTTTTGAGATGGAGTCTCACTCTGTTCCCAGTCTGGACTGGAGTGCAGTGGCTTGATCTTGGCTCGCTGCAACCACCATCTCCTGGGTTTAAGCGATTCTCCTGCCTCAGCCTCCCAAGTAGCTGGGATTACAGGTATGCACCACCACACCCAGCTAATTTTTGTATTTTTAATATAGAAGGGATTTCACCCTGTTGGCCAGGGTGGCCTTGATCTCTTGACCTTGTGATTTGCCCTCCTTGGCCTCTCAAAGTGCTGGGATTACAGGCGTGCACCACTGCACCCAGCTGGGAAACTTTCCTAAATGCCACACCAACTTGGAGGCTAGATGCAACCTGGCAAATTTAGGATTGAGCTAATAACTGACAAATCGACCTTGTGGTAAGAAGTGAGGTGGAGGATAAGGGATTCAAAACTGGGCTATGTGTAGACTTCTCCAGAGCTCTCTAAGAAACTTAGAGAAAAATAGGGAAGAGTTTATAAGTGACAATTTAGTGATTTGACTTAGTAGAATTTAATAAATTATTGGACTACCTCAGTACTTAGATATGAGGAATGGAATTAACTGAGAAATTATATTCATGCTATAGGGCTTAATTGCTATTATGGATGATTCTTTTGGCTTATCTTTAAAGTAAAACATCTTCAAATACAGATGAGAAAATGAATTTTGAGTTATTTGCACTTCAGTTTTGCCCCAAGAGGAAAATAAAAGGGCATGAAAAATTCACATTGTTATAGTTTAGACATAAAGGTCATTGAGATAAAGAATTTTCAACCAGATTGGTGTTTTGGAGTTTAAATTTTTTTTTTTTTTTTTTTTGAGACGGAGTTTTGCTCTTGTTACCCAGGCTGGAGTGCAATGGCGCGATCTCGGCTCACCGCAACCTCCGCCTCCTGGGTTCAGGCAATTCTCCTGCCTCAGCCTCCTGAGTAGCTGGGATTATAGGCATGCACCACCATGCCCAGCTAATTTTTTGTATTTTTAATAGAGACGGGGTTTCACCATGTTGACCAGGTTAGTCTCGATCTCTCGACCTTGTGATCCACCCGCCTCGGCCTCCCAAAGTGCTGGGATTACAGGCTTGAGCCACCGTGCCCGGCCTGGAGTTTAAATGTTTTAGCTGCTTCTAACGTCATTTCATGAGGTGGAAATGGTAAAAAGAGAAATGTCATGATTACAAGCTGAAGTCCTTCCTTATTTATAAACAAATAGTATTTTAAAATAGCTAACAGACATAGAGCTAAAATTGGGTTATTCTTCTGCAATCTTTGAAACGGAAAACGTTAGAAAAACTAAGTGACAGAGGCTGTACAGGGTCTGTTTCTAGTAGGTATGAAAAGTGACCCAGAGAGAAGGTTCTGCAGGGTTTGATGCCTTGCTTCATAAAATGTGGAGGTTATCTTCCCAGCAGAATGGAAGGCATTTTCTCTTTGTCTTCTTCAATATGAGCTGGCTCCTCTCCCTCAAGAGATGCAAACAGGAGGAAGAATTTCACCTGAATGGAGTAGTGTGTGGTCAGGTAGAAAGGTTTGGTGACCAAGCCAGGAATTACTCATTTATGGAGGAGTGGGAGGTGTGGCTGGGGTGGGGATTGGGTGAAAATAACTGATTTCTCTCAAGTCTTACATTCTATGTTCTTCTGTAAAACCAAATATGGAAAAGTACAACTCTGGAATCAAACTTTGGGATTCACTTCTGAATTCAGTTCATGCTCCTTGTGATACCGTGAGCAAAGGGTTTACTCTCACTGAGCCTTTCCTTCCTTGGTCTTAAAGTAGGAATAGTAAATTCAGTGTGATCATAGGAGTTAAGACCCAAGCACAATGCCTGGCCCAGAGGCACTGATAATAACAAATGGACCACTCATCTTTTTTAAATAATTAATGTGCAGTAATGAAACCTAGCTGTCACCTAGGTCAGGCCAACGCACTATAATTTTTCTGTTTTCCTCTAAAGTGGCTAGATATTCTCTTGAGAGATTAATGATTTTATTTACAAAATAGGAAATACATCTGTTTGGAACTGGCTTGATTTTTCAAAATTGGCCAAGTACCATAGTGGCTTTAATTTGGGGATTACTGACATCCTGACATTGACAAGTATATGCTGTCTTCCATGATGGGGAGATTGGGCTCCCATTTTCCACCTGCCCTCCCTTTTCCCACTTCAGAAGTTGTCAAATCTAATCTCTCCAGAAGCTTATTAGCCTATGATTCCAGGATGATCTACAGACCTGGCTAGAATAGCCAGATTACGGCTCTATTGGAATTCCCCTCTGAGATGTCCATTTGGGCTGTCAGCTACTTAGTCAAGGCAAACATTTGGACTTGGGCAGGCAACCTATGCAGTTTTAGATAAATGGTAATTATCACAAGCCCCAAATTGAAATGTAACTCTTCCTGTTTACTTGGTCAGCCAGAATTAAGGGATAACCCATAGAATTTGCTGGCTGGTATTCACCACTAGGTCTAATTATTGGAGAACTCCATAAAGGTGCTCAACAGATACACAAGGTCTCAACGATGATAAAATTAAAATGATCCCCAAGCTACGGGCCAAAAATCTTTTGCTAAAACGCATGTGGGGTCCTGGGTAAATAACTAAGAGCCATGATGGGGCATGAGAGCTTCACATTTCCTCCTAAGAGTGGAACAAGCTGTACCTTCTGCTCTGATGTGTTCTGAAATGGGTTGAAGAGAGGAGGTGTCACTCATCCTCATGCCCCAGTGGTGGGGCCGGGGAGAAAGCCCTCATGATAGACTGTACTAATAGGACTCCAAGTTTTGGCTTGTCCAGGCCTAGATTTGAACCTGGCTACATCTCTTACTGGATGTTTGACTGTAAAGTTGCACTATGGAGAGTGCTTGTCCCACTGGGTGTCAAGAAGATGCTCATCAGCAGGAGCTGCTCTTGTTCTGCAAATTCTCTCAGGATGCAAAGGGCAGGGCAGAGTTCCCTACCCTCAGACTGTGGAAGGCACAGACTTGGGGCTTGGGGAGTGAGCGCAATGCTCACTGTGGGTAAAATCATGTTTTACCTCCAACGTTCTTGGTTAGTCAAGAACCATTAGTCTGGTGGTGGGGGTTGGGGCAGAGGGTGACTACTGTTTACAGCTGAGAGGTGAAAGTAATCATCTCCACGAAGTCACACAGAAGGCTCAGGGAAAGAAAGCATCAGGTCTCATGTGGACTCTGAGACTGGGGACCAGAGAAGATGGAATTATAAGATCAAAACGGACAGTCAACAAATCAAGGATGCCTGACAATGGAGCCCTTCCCATGGTGAGACCTTGCTGATGGCCTTTAGGTGGCATCCACATGGGATCAGGTAGCAGGGATTCTCCCATACCAACACGCTATCCATGAAAACCACAATTGCTGTGAGGCTGGACAGATTAAAAGGATAAAGAGGTTGTAGAAGCTGCCTTCGCCATGGCTAGCAACAACCTTCAAAAAAAAAAAAAAACCTAAAAGCTCAGACCCAGAATCCAGAGTTTGCCAGGAGGTGGTGATAAATGAATCAATCAATCGATTAGAGCTGTGGAGGACCAGGTACCAGTGTGGGTCTCTAGCACAGCACGGGGGTGAGGGCATCCAGGTTGTCTGACACAAGCACGACCTTCTCAGGCAGAGGAGGGGGCTGGAAGCAGACTGTCTACAGATGCCCTTGGCATACATGCAGCTTTATATCACAACCCTGCCTTCCCCATAGCCCCTCCTGCCTGCTCCTAGCTTTCCAATGTATGCAACAGTTCTCCATACAAATAGCCAATCAGAGTGTGCCCTCACCATCTGGCAACAGTGTCTCTGTTCACTGCACTACCCTGCATGTCTGAGGGCAGGAAGGCAGGAACTGGTCTTATGCACTGTGACAGTGGTCTGGACTTTCTAGACCAAGTGATCACACTGCAGGTACCTGAACTTACTCAGCCACTAGACCAAACTGGCTTATAAAGTAGACTATGTTGGCATAAGGGTTACGACCTAGACTAAACAGACATGATGGCACATAACCTAGACTTACTGGGTTTATGGTATAAACTAGTCTTTGTGAGTTTGGTTAGTGTGGGTCAGTGCTCCCAGCCTGCCCTGCCTAGGAAAATACACAAGAAGTTTTCTAGATCCTCCAGCTTGAATCCAGACTCCTGGACCCCCTCCTGGGTGTCCCAGTGAAGGGTCAGCAGGAGAGAGCAGAAGCATACAGCTGGGAGGCAGACCAGGGCGAAGGTATGGACAAAATGCTTTGCTCTCCTCCCTGATGATAGAGGTTTTCTCATGGCATTCAAGGCCTTTCATGAACCTGGGCAGAGAAATAACAGCCCTAGGCCCTTGGGCTCAGGGGGTCCTGGTAGGGACAACTGCCCTCTGTAACCAGGAACATCAGAGGCCAAGGCATGAAGACCCTCTGTGTCCTCCATGGGCCTACAAGGAGCCAGTTTTTCTCCCCATCCATCCTGCCGCCCAGCAAGCCCACCCACTCACTTACCCGCACCCTCCGTTACCTGTGTCCCCTTTGCTTCCTTTCAGGCCTGCAGCTCCTGGACTCCCGGGGCTCCCTGGAAGTCCTGGACAACAGACACCAGAGATGGCATAAGGGCTGGACTAGATGGGTCTTCACACATCACTCCCATGCCCGCCACAGGACCCAGGACCTCACCTGTTAGTCCAGGGGAGCCAATGCTGCCCGGCTCACCCTTGGTACCTGGGCGTCCCACTGCACCAGGAGGGCCTGGAACGCCCTGCACTCCAGGTTGTCCTAAAAGGTAAGTAGTGACTGCCAGGCTGTGGTGGTTGGCAGAGGGTCTGGCTGCCCAACCCCCAAGTGCTTGTCCTCAGCAGTGAGATGCGTACCTCTTAACACCATACAGTCCCCTTGGCAGCTTTAACACCTCTCTTTAGAAGACATGAGCTAGCCCTCTTAGTAGGAGGAAAATTATTCTCAGCAACTTACTAATCTTTTCCATCTGCAGGGTCTGGGACTTGTGGACTTACTAAGAGCTCTGGGTGTGACTGTCCAAGGCCATCCCCTGGGTGGCAAAGTGGGGTGAAGTCTAGAGAGAAACATCAGTGAGGCCTGTCCTCCCTACCCCTGGCTGCCCTGTTCCTCTTAGCTGGGGCCAGGTTTTTAAGAAACCCCACGTGCTCTGGGTGAATACTACAATGAAGCAAAAGATGGTGGAGTCAGGGTCCCCAACTTCACTCTGCCAAGGTCAGTGGTAGCTGAGATGAGGCCCAGATTCCTGTAGTTCTTACCTTGATCTCCTTTAGCTCCAGGAAAACCAGCCAAACCTAAGATGAAAAAGAACTTTTAGGAATTTGTTTTCCCTTTGACTCAGCCTGCCAGAAAAAAAATGGAAATACCTAGAGGTCATTGGATGTGACCACGTGCCCTCTTACCTGGTGGGCCTGGCTTCCCAGAGTCACCTTTACTCCCCTGGGCTCCAGGAGGCCCCATGACTCCTGCATCTCCTTTCATGCCCCTGTCCCCTTTGCCTCCTGAAAAAACAAAAAGTCTCGGTCAGGTGTGAAAGGAGATCCAATCAGGCCACCCTCTCCCTGTCTGACACTTTCCTCCATTCCACTGAAATTCCAAACCCTAAACACCTTGTGCTCCTACTTGGTGCCCACGAGTGGCAGACATGACCGCTGCCCTCAAGGACCTCACCGCTTTGCCCCCAGAGACATGACAGAAACTCATGAAAAGTTGGTGAGGTGACCTGGTATGGCTGACAGTCATCAGAAGGCCCTGGTACGCTTGGGAGGGACAGTAGCCCAGGTTCAGCCGACACTGTCTGGCTCCTTTTAGTGTCTGCATTTTGGCAATTGTTTGAATTCACTTCCAAATGGAAACCTGAGTATTCCAAAAAGCAGATTCCAAAGGCTGAGAATAGCAACTTTGAGGCATCAATAGGGAGAAAAACATTGCAACAGCTCATATTCTTGCCAGCGCTGCAGACATGGGCTCTCCTGGTACCCAAGATTTCAAATTTTCCACTTATCATCAGAATTCAGGGCTCATACTAGCCTGTCCCCTTCTGAGTCCTCTGTCTCTCCCTCCTCTCTTGCTGGTGCCTGGTGCATATCAATTGACAGAGACTCCTCACTGGGGTAGGGCTCTGTGACTTCTTTGGTTGTGGGATGGACTGCCTGCACCTTGCCAGCCACACAATGTAGGGTACCAATAGGCTGCCAAAGTTCACCATCAGCTGAGTGTCTGTGCTCAACTCCATTCCCCTGGGGGTGGGGAGAGTGGGGAGAAGGTCTAAAGAGGAATAAATATCTCACCACAATGCAACCTTTCAGGCTTTCAAAAAGGCTTATTGGCAGGCAATTTTGTTAAAAGGCATATGTTGCTCTATCTATGATTTTGATCATTCTGAACCTGGGGAGGACTCAGGCACGACACCAGCCTTCTCCAGTGACTTAGAAAAGGGGACAGAGAGATCTGAAGAGGATAGGAAGAAGGGAGAGTCCTGGGTCTTGGCATTGCGTGATGTGAATTCATGAGGCATGAGGCTTATGACTCAGACCCCTTGAGATGGCTGAATACTTGAAGAGTGGTTGGTCCTTGAGGAAGACAGAGCAATCTTAAGGAACTTGGTTATGGCTGAGTTGTCCTATAACAACTAGAGGTGCAAAAAAGCAGAAGGAGGCTGTTCTTGGCTGTTCCAAGGGTCCACTCTGGAGAAGGGGCCAACAGCCCCTGCTAGAAGGCACTGAGAACTGTTTTCCTGGAGGAATCTTTCGGTGCCTTCTTTGCTGCAGGCCAGGACCATCAAGTGACAGCGTTGCTGAGGCCATAGAAGGTTTCTTCAGAATGATCTGGACCTACATCTGCATTGCTATAACTTCCACTCCCTGCAAAGGGGATGGCTTTGGGAAGAGGGCAGTGTCACATCAGTCAGAGGACCACACTCTGACTCTGGCCAAGGAAGCACAGCTGACTTCAGAACTTTCCAACTGTAGCTAAGTAACAGAGTGAGGAAAATAGGCTTGTCCCCTGGGACTTCACGTTGGTGGCTTATCTATTTACTAGCGGGAAGAGACTAGGTAAAATCTCAGCAGTACTGGGGTCAGGTCTTCCTCGGTTTGCACAGCCCAGCCATCAGCAGTGGATTGAGCAAGCCATGGGTAAGAGAGATCTCATGATCTTGGGAGAGGAAATCTGGGAAGAGGAGGGGTGGGCCGGAGCCCTGATTTCTGAAGAACTGAAACTGCTGCCTTTTCCCTCGCTGATCACAGCGTTTCCAGGCCTGAGTCTGGATATGGATTCCATGCTCGCCTTTGGGACAGTATAAGGTGGGAAGCAGCATGACTCAGACTCAGTGGGCCAAGACCTGGCTGTGGCCCCTTTTCTGGGGCTGGTGGGACCACCTTGAGAAAGTCTGGGTCTCCCTTTGCCATCTATGGAGAGAACTGTGTTGTTTCAGCTTTGGAAGTCTCCTCAGAGGTCGGCCACCCAACCACCTGCCTGGTGCCAGTATCCCCCATCAGCCCAGGTAGGAGAATTCTGCAACTTCTCATCCCCTTGCAGCAGTCAGCTTTCCGCTGAGACCCACGCCCACCCATTTCATCGTGGGTCAGCCCCAAATTCGGAATCATTCTTCCTCCCTTGCCTTAGCACAATTGGTTCTCCTGAAATCTTAGTCCATTGGTCCTTATTCTTCTACTGGGCACCACTCGGGGAAAGACCATTTTCCTTCCCACAAATGCCCTTTAAATATTTGAGGATGGATGATACATCCCTACTAATGGCTGTCTTCTTGAGAGCAAGCCTTCCCAGTTTTTGGTAAGGAATTCGCATGTGCCAGGTACAGTGGTACACATCTTACAAGCCTTATATTCCTGCAGTAATTCATCCTCATGAAAGATTGGTATTATTATTAGCCCCCTTTCCTAGGTGAGTACATTGAGGCTAAGGGAGGTTAAATCATTTGCCCAAGGTCACACAGTCAGTGAGCCATATCAGAGCCAGGTCTGTCTGATCTTGAAACTGCAGTCCTTCCCTTTCTACCTTACAGGATAACTACTGCTACTACTCCTACTATTACTAGTTATCACGTACTTGGTGACTGTCATGTGGCAGACAGCTTGAAAACATGGTCTCTCTCCCTTATTAAGGTCTTGTAAGAGATGTCTACTTTAATTATCATTTTCATTTAATTACCATTCTTTTCTAAAATGAGAAAGTTAAAGCTCAGAAGGGTGAAGTATTGTGCTAGTCACACAGGGAACAGGTCCAGAGCAAGGACGGGAACCAAGCCCACCTGGCTCCAGAATCCTCATTCTCTGCCATTCACGGCAGAGCCTCTCCGATGGCTGCAGGAGGCTGAGAGGCAGAGAGCATGGCATGCCCAGTCAGGTCCAGAGCCCCTAGGCCAGTGTTTCTCTGAGTATGGTGCCTAGACCTTTGAGGTTAGAACCATCCAGGGCATTTGAAACAGACCCTCAAGCCCTCCCTGCATTTTCAGCAAGCACCCAAATAGCTCTTATACATGGCCCATGGCTTGAGGAACAGTGTTCTGGAGACAGCACCCACAATCAACGGGGGATTCTGGCTGCCTGGGGTCTGCCTCCTGGAATCAACCCCCTTGGACTTGACAACAGTCAGTCTGCCCTACTTTCCCAAGGCTCAGTGTAGGCCCCCTCTTCATCCCTTCAGCTTCCTCTCTGAGCTCCTAGCTCTGCCTGTGCCCCAGCTTGCCATAATTATGCCTGGAATGACATTGTTCTCCCTCTCACATTGCATCTCTTTGCTCACCTGGAAAGGAGACTATGTGTGGTGCACCAGAGATTCCCATAGACAGAGCACAGCCCTGCCCTCAATGGGCACTGAATAGACCCAGTGGCACAGAGGTCAGACCCCAGTTCCCTCAGTCCTCCTGGCGAGCACTGACACCCCCAGTACGGCCCTCACCTGGGAGGCCCAGGTCTCCTTTGTCTCCCTTAGCTCCAGTTTCCCCTTTCGGGCCAGTGAGACCCCCATCGCCTTTGCTGCCCTTCTCTCCTTGGGGTCCTGGGGCGCCTGCAAGAGAATGGCTGGTGAGGTGGGCTTTCACCAGCTTTTTGGGGACAGGCTACGAGAGGCAAAGTGGCAGGAAGCATCTGGGGGAGAAGGGAATGGGACTCCCAGAGGAAATCTGGGGATGTGCTAGCTCATTTCTTGAGTGGTCTTGATGAGGTGACAGGACTCAAGCGAAGAGGACTGTGGGGAGGGCAGCAACCATCTGGGACTGGGGTGGGGCTGTGGAGAGAGGATTCGGGGGGGGCAACTGCCTGGGTGCCTCAGGCAATGCATCATGGGTTCCTAGCAGAGCAAGCACAAGTTACCAGTGGCTCCTTGCTTCCCTGGAGCACCCTGGGGTCCTTGGAGGCCTGTGAAGAAGGAAAAAAGAGCTCAGTTGCTGTGACCTGAGAATGTCTAGAATGTCTTCAATGAGCTGACATTTCAGACCCCCTCAGTTGGGTAAGGTGTCCAGGAGGAGATCTTAGTCTCTCTCTCTCTCTCTCTCTTTCTCTTGTGTGCGTGCGCGCGTGCACACATACACACACATACACACACACACACACACACAGGATTGCACAAACACAAACAGCAGAGTCCCTGGCAGTTCCAGTCAGTGTTTGCTTTTGCTATGGTTTGAGAGTGTCCCTCAAAAGTTCATGTGTTGGAAGCTTGGTCCTTAATGCAGCAGGTCCCAGTAAGGAGGTGTTTGGGTCACAGAGGCAGATCGTTTATAAAGAGATTAATCCCATCTGGCAAGAGGCAGTGAGTTCTTGCTCTTGTGGGACTAGATTAGTTACCAAGAGAGCTAGTTCCTTGTGTCCACCGTGTTTTGACTCAGCACAAGGCCCACACCAGAAGTTGTCAGAGGGAGCAGCCCAGTCTCGAACTTCCCAGCTTGCAGAATCATGAACTAAGTAAACCTCTCTTCTGTGTAAATTACCCAGTCTCAGGTATTTTGTAATAGTGACACAAAACAGGCTAAGACAACTCTCTTCCCAAAGGCCCAGAACAGCACCTAGGAATATATCTTGCACGGCAGTGCGGGAAAGGCTGTAGAGTCAGGCAAGTGTGTTTGAATTGTAGCTCTGTCACTCCACAGGCTGGATGACTTTGGAAAAGCCACTTAAATATTCCTGCACCTCAATTTTCTCATGTATAAAATGGGGCTGGTAATGACTACCTGGTCCTCAGCAGATGCATAATTAGTGCTCTAAGACAAAAATGGAACTGAGAAGTGGTGATTCCCACCCACATGGCCCAGGGATCCAAGGCCACCATGTGGAGTACAGACTGGAGGTGCTGGGTGTTCCCGGGGCGGGGGGGCGGGGGTGGAGGGAGGGCAGGGAGAGATCTGTTGGGGAGAGGAAGAGTAAAAGTATGAGGGGAAACTGAGGAATCCAGGAGGCAAAGTGTAAAAGGATGAGAAGGAGAGGAGCGAGAGGAGGGGGTGTATACAGAGAGGCTCTAAGTGAGTTGCTGAATTACACAAGCTTTTCCCGAGGATGCCAGTGGGGCCCAAGCAGAAGGCACAGATGGGCTCTGGGCTCCACACTCTTATGGAACCACTGTAGTCTGCTTTGTGGATCTGTTTCATGTTTGTGAGGTTCCAGAGGATTTGGGTGGAAGAAGGGGTTGCCTGCTTCTAGTGCTACTGATTGCACAGTCCTGCTCTGAGCCCTCTGTCAGGGCTGTGTGGTATGCCTGCCTGTCAGAGCCCCAAAGAGAAGGGGAGGCTCTGCTCTATTCCTTCTTGAAGGAAATGACTGAGCTCTTCGGGCTTCAGACTTGTCCCTTCAAGCCAGCCAGTGACTCCACTCTGGTGAGTTCTAGCACCCAGCCCAAGTCCCTCTCTCTTGGAGGAAAGAGGAGGGAGGAAGACCCACTAACCTCTGAGTGAGCCTGCTCTGCTCAAGCCCCCACGGGCTGGACTGTGAGTGTGTGTGTGCACGGGGGTGTGAACGTATTCGAATGTGTGAAGGCATGAATGAAATGCAAATATGTGCATAGATGTGTGCTCAGACATGGGTGTGCATGAGTATGGGTGTGTATGTGAGTGCTTGTGTGTGTATGAGTGTGATTATGTTTGTGTGTGAGTGTGAGTATGTGCACAGATGTGCCCTCAGACATGAGTGTGAGTGTGTGGCATGAATGTTTGTGTGCACCGCTGACTGCACCATAAACTTTCCCTCCTTCTTACGGCCCGCCTATCCTCCCCGCTTAAACCCTCCTCAGAAAACCCCCTGCTGGACACAGATCAATAGGCTCTTTGGGATCCCTTCTATTAAATTCCTTCCCAAAATCAGTTTTGGGAGGATTCTCCCTCCTAACAAGTTTCTTGTAACTGGTGGTGTTTTCTTTCTGCCTCAGTGGCCTGGAGGCTTAGAGACCGGGTCTGTTTACTCCCCACTCCCTCATAAATCCTCTCATCTGCGTTTTGTCTAGTAAACGTCTTAATGTCTTTGCATCTTCATGTCCCAGCAGCCGCAACCCCTCAGGGGATTTGCAAGTCGGAGGGATTAAAGGAAGGGTGGATGGAAGCAGAGTGAAATGGAAGACCAATATTTGGGTTTGTCCCTGGGGAGGAACAGCTCTGGGTCCCTCCCTCTCTGACTGGGCCCTGTGAGCCCATTTATATTAATATAACCATGAGGTTACCACGTGGGAACCATCATGGAAAACACAAAAGGCATTAATAAGACGGCTGGGCAGAATTAGGCAACAGTCTAAAAGAAATGGAAACGAATACTTTTAGTATTAGCAATGATCACAGGCTCTGGGTCATTGTCTCTAATACCCCCAGCAGCCCTCTGCAGCCCTCTCATCCTGAATCACAGAAAAAGAGACTGAGGCTCAGTTTCTTTGGGAACATCAGGGAATGTTCCCAAGGGCACAGAGCTAGTCCGAAGAGGAGGCGCAAATGCGTTGACACCAGAATCGCTGCTGGACCAAGGAGCCCGACTTTCCCCAGCGGCCCTGGCAGACTCACATTCTCACACAGAAGAGTGAGTAGGAGTCATATCCGCCAGCCCCACCCAGGCCGAAGGCCATCTAGCTGGACCTGCCCCTGAGGGCTGCTGCCCAGCTCTACCCTCGCCACCAGAAAGGGTGCTTCCCAGCCTCTCAGCCCCTCTGGGGTCTCCCGCCATGCAGGCCCCCATTCCCACACAGACTCCTCAGGGGTCCAGATTCTGCAAGGAGGCTGTGTCTGCAGCCTGCAGCAGTCACTCTGAGAAGACTGCTGTATATTCCTGGGCACACACCCAGCACCTACTCACCGGCCTCTCCCTTGACTCCTGGTGGCCCTTGGGGTCCCGGGGGGCCTGAAAGGGAAAGAGAATTCAGAGTGAAGCCAATGAAGGAGGAGGAAAACAATTAAGGGTCAGGAGCCAAAGCCCAGTACCTGTTGCTCCATTGTGTCCTGTAGCCCCCTTGGCTCCCTTCTCAGAAGGTGGCCCAGGCAAGCCGGGGGCACCAGGCATGCCCATGTGCCCCTTGAGACCTTGAAGACCTGAGGAAGAGAAACAGAGACACCAGTGAATCAGCTAACAGGGTGGGGCGACAATGCCATGCAATCACTCACATGGTGATTCATTCAACAAACGTTCACTGAGCATGGGGATGAGCCAGCTGTGTGGAAGGAAGGAAAGAAGACGGAGCTCCTCCTCCAGGAAGCCCATAGCCTTCAAAGCAAGAGAGAGACACTGAGTCAGACAGACCTGGGTGCAGTGTTAGCACTGCCCCTGTAGCTGGGGTGACCTTGTGCAAGTTACATCATCATTTTGAGCCTCAGCTCCCTCATCAGTAAGATGGGCTTAGTGCACTAGTTACACAGGGATGTCTTGAGGTTACCACTTGGGAACCATCATGGAAAACACACAAGGCAAGCTCTGGATAAATGGAGCCTATACTTTCTACGACTCACATGATTCTCTACCATTTCCTAGGGCCACTTTGGAGACAGAGTTTCACTGGAATCTCACAACCAGAGCGGTGATACAGGGCTCCTCATCCCCATCATCGAGGAAGGCAGTGATGTTCTGAGATGCCCAGGCCTTGCCTGAGGTCTCACATTTAGAGTGTGGCCAGATTCCAGGTCTCCCAAGGGCAAAGCCTGTACCCTTGCCAAGACACTGTGGCGATGAAGCCTATGATGTGCTTTCTATTTCAAAGTAGAATTCCAGTCCAACGTGTGGGATCCACATGTCCCTTCATTTTACATATACAAGACTGGAAGGATGAAGTTCCAGCTGGGGACTAGAACCTCTCACTTCGGCACGGGGCCCCTTTCAGATGAATCTCTGGAAAGAGAATTGTTTCAGGGTTTGACATCAGCTTCCACTGAAGTGGCGTGACCTGGATAGGGACCTTCACTCGGCCTAGCCCTGGTTTCCCGTGCGGCATATGAGAATAGCACATCCACCCCACAGGGTCTTCGGGAGGACTACCGAGGCCATGGCGCACGGAAGAAACCCAGTGAAAGGGGCTCTTACTATACTGTTGGCCAAAGGGAGGGACAAGAACCTCAGAGACCCCATGATGCTGGAGATAAGCCTCCTCCCCTGCAGGGCTGTCCCTCCTCCTGGGCGATCAAAGCTGGAGGTTTCTGCACCTGGCACTTCTGGGGGAAAGTGCCCCATTACTCCCAGGCTAGAAGGGGCTTTTCAGGGTAAGCCCCTAGGATCCTGTGCCCATCCTGTGCCAGAATCGCTGCCACCCCTTCTCAGGCAGAGCAGTGCAAGCTGTTCTGGGTCCACTGTCTTGGCCTGGTCCACTGGGGCGGGGATAGGGATAGGGTTCAGGCTCAGGACCCTAATTCGGCTTCTCCAAACCTGCCTGCAACATCTTAAGCAAGTCGATGTGCCTCTGAGCCTCTGTTTCCTCATCTGTGAAATGAGATTAATGGCAACAGCTGCTTGGGGTTAGTGTGAGGAGTCGACATAGCATAAAGCAGAGTGCCTTGTGCTTAACCAGGGGTGCCCTCAGGGCCTGCCACATCCTCGCCCCTCCGCAGCCTCATCTTGCATCACTCCCTTGTTCTTGTGCTTCAAAGAACCTTCTTTCTCTGTGGTCTTTGACTCACCAAGCTCCCTCCTGACCCAAGGGCTTTTGCACACCTGGCTTTCTCTGCCTTGCCGGCAGGCAGCTCAAACCAGTTCTCTGCCTTCTTACCCAGGGAACCGCCCCATCCTTTCAGAGCAGTGGCCAGGGCTGTGACTACATCAGGCTCCAAACCGGTTGCCTCCTAAACAGGAAGGCCATGAGGGCATGGCCTCGTCTGTCTTCTTCATGTCTGGATCCCCAGAGGTTTCTCATCCTTATGGAACATTCAATAAATGTTTCTTGGGAGAAACAAAAGAAGTCCAGGGTGGATAGGGGAGGGAAACAGAGAGGCAGGTGGGTTTTGCAATCGCCTTCCCTGAAGCTTGGTTGAGGGGCGGTTCCCCTGACTGTGTTCCAAGCAGCCTGCATGGGAGGGCGGTTCCACAGGCGGGCTGCCTCCGAGGAGACCACGACTTCTGGATTCCAGACCCCGCTCTCCTCCCCTGCCCACCTATGTGTCTCCGGGGGCTTTTCAGCAAAGGAGTCTCTGGGGAGCCCTGATCAGGCAAAGCAAGCCATGGGGAAGGGGAGAGAACACAGCCTCCCTGGGTGGGAAAGGGTGATGGGCAGGGAATCTGGAGACGCAGGTGGTCCCTGAGGAGGAGCCGAGACTTCTGTAGCCCCAGCCACTGCAAGAAGTTTCCAGCCTCTGGTTTCTGAGCACAAGAAGAAAGAGTGGGAAGAGAGAGAAAGAGAGACAGACAGAAGTCAGAGGCAGAGAGAGACTGAGAGGCACATGGAGAGTTGGAGATTCTCTGTATGTACATACATCTATATTCATACAGAGAGAGAGAGACATGAAGAGAGAGTTAGAGATCTTCTCTATGTACATACAACTATATGCATACAGAGAGAGACAGCCCAGAGGGAGATCGTGTTCTGTGCTCTGGAATGAGGTGGGCAGCACTGTGCCTAGGGTGGGTGAGAAGAGGCTTAGCATTGATTCTGTCAGCAAAAGCAATTAAAATTGTTGAAACTACCCCTCCTTGAAGGAGAGGAGCCACATTCATCAGGCTGAAGGCTCTCCTAGCCTTAGCATTTAGTCTTCTCAAGAACGAACAGAATAACAGCTGTAATAACAGCAGATAATTGTCATCATAATAATGAAAAGAACATCATCAAGTACCTGCTCTCTGCTGGACACTGGACTAAGAAGTTTGCATTTATTGTTTTATCCTGACACCAATTCTAGGAGGTCCTACCAGTATGCCCATCTTACAGGGGAAGACACAGAGCTCAGAAACATGATTTGCTCAGTGCCACCCAGTTTACAGGGGCAGATCCAGGGTTTCCGTAGGTCCACCAGTCTCCCAAGTCCCTGCTTCCGTCACTTTGCAAGGCTGCCTCAAAACCCTCCCTGGCCACTGGCGTGATCTGGGCCATCCTTGAAATATGACGAGACCAAAGGATTCTATCCCCAAAATGGCATATATATTTATCCTCAGGGGGAAATTTCAGCTGAAGAGATGGAACAGGGGTGTGAGTGAAGCGTGTGTGCAACACAACACCCACGTGGGTTGAGGAGGGAAGAAAAGGCAAACAGGCCACAGCCTTGTCCTTAGAAAGCACACGCCATTGTCAGACATTTTTTGCACAGCATCTCACTTGAGTCCTACAGCAACTCCGTGAGGCCAGTCAGATTATCTCCACTGCTTTCTACACAGGTGAGTGGCTAAGGTTCCAGAAAACTGAAGCAACTGACCCAGAGTCACACAGCCAGTGAGCCCCAGACCCAGGATTAGAACTCAGGTCGGCCTGACCGCACAGCCCGTGCCTCTGTGACACCTACCTCCCATCATTACTGCCCTGCAGGAGAGAGGATTCAGACACCGTGGAAACGAGCCCAGCACCTCTGGTGGGAAGTGCTGTGTATGTGGCAGGTAAGAGTCACCTAAAAGGAGTGCTTATGGGAAACCGGGGGAGAAGGCTGCCCTGGCAGCTGGGATGCTGCCTGGCCTGGCCTGGGAAGGTAGCTAGGTTTGGATGGGTAGGGTGGGGAGAGGAAGCCACTTCAAATAAGGAGGGGGATGAGAGCCCAGGGACTGGGAGTCCAATCAAGGTCAGGGAACAGAGAAGAGACCCAGCCCAAGACAAAGGAAGGCTGTGGGGACAGGGGAAGGTAAGCTGGGGTCAGATGTCCAGACCCAGAATGACACTGGCCAAGAGGCCCTTTTGGGGAGGTTTTGGGAAAAGAGCAGGGTGGGTGTGAGTGGAAATGAACCTACCTGGGGCGCCTCGTTCACCTTTGATTCCGAACATCCCTGCAAGGGAAGGAGAGTGAGCTGCAGCTGAGCTGTGCGGCACTCCTGGCTCTAGTCCCAGCTGAGAGTGGCCAGGCTCTGCAGTGGGAGGCTGAGTCCTCCCATGTGAGGCTCCCATCAGACCGCAGGGGTTTGGACAATAGGGGCAAAATACCTGGCTGCTTTTCGGGAAAGAGTCCTTGGAAAGAGCCAGATGCTTAACTGTAACTAGTGAACTGCACCCTGAGACCTGTAGATCCCTGGGAGCCTTGGAGGTGGGGAAACGAGGTTGCATCAAACCAGCCCGAGGAGGTAGAACTCCCTCGTGTTGGTCAAAATGAGCTTCTTTGCATTTCAAGGAAGGAAGTGACACTCCCACGGTGTCTGAGTGTCCGAGCCTGGACTCCATCCATCTGCCCACAGCTACTGACCCTCCTCACACCCCCACTCAGCCTTCATCTTTGCTCCCAGGATTCGCCTCCTGGGTCCTGTGCTGGGCATACCCCTTGGTCACATGACTCAGTCATGGGCTCACCCTCCCAAGCCTTAGCTCACACAGGGCCCAGAGCAAGGAACCCCACTGGGTGTGAAGCTCTGTGTCACAGGGTAAACCCTACGACGGTTGGACCACACCTAGCAGCCGGTTTTGCCCAAATTGTCTGAGGGCAAAGCTCTTCCCATTTTGGGGCAGCCTGAGAGAGGAGAGGGTGCAGCTGCAAGGCCCAAGAGCACCGAGGGAAAGGGCGCCCTGAGGTTTTCACCCTTGGCTCAGTTTTCTCCTGCCTTCAACCCTACCACCCAAGCCACTGTGTGTCCCCCAGCAGGCCCGGCTGTTCCCCTCCCTCCAAAGTCCCCACATTGTCTGGACGAGTTTGGTGCCTTCAGCTGCTCTCTTCCCACCTCACATCAGGGTAAGTCAGCTGTGGGGGAGTGGTCCAGGGAACTGCCCCAGGCTCTGTGTCCTACCTCCCTCTTAGACATTCCAGATCCATCTGGGGACTTTGGGGTCAGGCTTGGCATTAAGGTGGTTGCTCTAAGTCCCTGGCTCGAGGTCACACTTTGCTTGGACAGAGCCCTCAGTTTCCTGGTTCCTGATCAGGCTGTCTCCCAGACCTCTGTCGAGAAGTCCCAACCCAGAGGGGAGGAGGCCAAACCTGGGTTCTGAGTGAAGTTGTCTACCCGCTGCAGCAAGTGCTCGTGGCTGACACGGACCCAGGTGAGCTGCGCCTGCAGGACTTCCAGCCTTGATGCACGCTGAGCCAGCTGTTCTTCAGGGTGTGTTGACTGCAGCAAGGAGAAGGATGGACTGTCCTCAACGGCCAGAGTGTCATTGGAAAAATACATCTCTAGGACCCGGAGCCGCTCCTGCAGATTCAGAACTAGACCCCCCACCCCACAGCCTTCTTTTAGGGACTGAGGCATTTAAGCATATCCCTGACATCCTTGTGTCATGTGTGCATAAGTTCTAGGGGCCCTGAATTCGTACACACAAAGTCCATGTGCTGTCAGGACCTAGTGTGACCCCAGAGCCTTTTCTGCATCTTGACCATGTGTGCTCCACACTCAGGCATGACATGGCACATCCACAAAACATTTCTGCATGGCCTAAAGCTGTGCCTACTGCATCCACAATCAATCTCCAACCTTCAGGCAGTTAAGACCTTGCATGTTCCGGGCGTGGATGCGTGACAACTAACATGCTGGTCTGACCTAAATATGTGCAAGCTGCATTCGTGTGTGACCTTAATACATACATGACATGTTTATGACAACTGTGCATTCAGTGTTCTTGAGTAACTTCAGTGTCTGCTCACGGAATTACTTCATGACTTTAACCTTAAGACTGGGATTACTTCAAAAGTCAAATCATGATCAAATGGACACTTGGATCAGCAAAGCCCTTCCCACTCAGAGACTGGTACTCTTTGATGTCAGATGCGTGTGGCATACCCTGTGTGAAACTATTGCATCTTTCACTGCTTAGACACACACAGGCTCACTAGTGCATTCTCAGGGTCTCTCTGGCTCTCTCATGCACACATACACACAACATACACTGCCTCTTCACTCCTCCCATCACTGTGGCTGCCAGGGGCTAAGACTCTCTCCCAGCAGATGGGCGCAGTGGCCCAAGGCTCTCCCCTCACTCAGAGCCCTTCATAAGAGGGGCTGCTGGGTCACCCCTCCCCCATAGGAGGGACTACACAGGGCCAGGCCTGCTTTACCTTGGACTACCAGCAGCCCGGCACCCACGGTGAGCAGCATGAGGTAGATGACCACACGTGGCCAGACAGAAGTTCACCCCATTTCTCCTCTTGGGCTTTGGATCTGAAACACAAGCCAGGCAGAAGGCTGCTGCTGCGGAGAGCACAGCACAGGGAGTCCCCGCCTCCTCCGGGCCCTACTCCATGTGAGCAGGGGGCATCCTGTGAGGTCAGCTGGGAAAGACACCAAAAGCTCATGACCCCCAAATCATCCCCCTGATCCTCCTTCTTGCCACAAAGCAAAAATTCCCACTGCTGGTCACTCATCTGTGTGGCTGGGCAAACAAAAATCTGTGCCATATATCATTTGCCGGAAGAGGTGTTAGATCAACCTTGTTCACCATTGAAGTCCCAGCATGGTGCCTGACCCTGCTGGGTTCTCAATCTGTGTTTGTGGAATGAATTATGAATTAATGTGTTTAAATTTCAAAACTCTGGGAGAAGGAAGATTGTCCGCATTTAGCAAACAAGTAGTGAGGCTTGGAGAAATTGAGTAACTTAGTAGGTTATGAGAAGCAGATCTGGAATTCATGTCTAGGTCTTTTTTTTTTTTTTTTAGATTTTTAAATTATAAAAGTAAAATGTGGGCCGGGCACAGTGGCTCACGTCTATAATCCCAGAACTTTGGGAGGCCGTGGCTGGTGGATCACGAGGTCAAGAGATTGAGACCATCCTGGTCAACATGGTGAAACCCCGTCTCTACTAAAAATACAAAAAATTAGCTGGGCATGGTGGCACGTGCCCGTAATCCCAGCTACTCGGGATGCTGAGGCAGGAGAATTGCCTGAACCCAGGAGGCGGAGGTTGCGGTGAGCCGAGATCGCGCCATTGCACTCCAGCCTGGGTAACAAGAGCGAAACTCCGTCTCAAAAAAATAAATAAAACAAAAACCATGGTTGATATATTTTATCAAATAATGTACAGTACATGACAAGAGTAATAATCATCCCTCAACCCCCAAATGTCCTAACCCAACTGAGATATGCTCTATTAGCACTCCAGGGTGTGTTCATCCTCCATTCTTCCTGCCCAGAAATTCTACAAACCCATATAGTCTGAAACAGACTCTTTTCTTTTAATCTTATAAATGATATCACAGTACACAAAATACCACACATTGCTTTTCACAATGAAAGATTTTCATGGATATTTTCCTAGTTTTCTTTGCAGAGAGAGATTAGCTGCCCAATATTCCTTAGGGACAAAAGCCACAGTTCAGGCTAACATTTCCCTTTTGATGAGCTATTTTCAGTTTGTGACACTGCAAAAGAGGATGTAGTAATTCTCGCCTAGAAGTCCTGACTCTAGTCTCTCGTCGGCTGTTACTCTGGCTTGTTTATGGGTATTAAAGGGAGGACCACAGCCTGCAGAAGGCCCTGCAGCTTCCTATGCTCACGTTAAATGAGCACCTATTCCATAGCAGGTATTTACTAACATCACCTCTAGCCATTGCAGCAATCCTGCAAGGTAGGCATGGTCACACTCCTTTACGGAGGAGAGAGCTGGGATCAAAAAGTTAAGGTGACAGGTGACACGGTAGGCACGTGAACCCAGGTTGGTCTAACTCCAAGGCCTGAGCTTCCCTCACCAGCCTGCACTGACCACTGCCCCTAAGAAAGATCCAGCTGAAATGGACCCCAAGTGCACATCTGAAAGGGAAAGAGATTATAATTAAGCAGGCCTAGGGCATGTGTGCCCAACCATGTTTGCTTTTGTGATAGGGGCAGATGGGTTATCAGTTGACTAACGTGACAGATCCACTTAAATCCCAAATCTTCTTCTATCCCCTGCAGCTCCTGTGTTTTTACCCTGCTGATACTCCTTTCAATACCTGCACGGCAGGGACCCCTGCTTGAGAATTACCCAGGTGAATAATGATCTAGGGGTAGCTCTGGCAGCACAGAGAGAAACGGTTTTGTTGGTGGGTTGCTTGTTTAGCTAGTGGTATTTGATTATACTCAGTTTAGCATGGAGTGCCCCTTCTCCTCCATGCCCCACCCCACAAAATTCAGGCTCACACAGCAGCTTGAGTGAGCCCCACAATCCACAACCTGGCCAAGTCATTCCCTGCTGTTAGCCCTGCAGTGACGGCTCACTGCTCCCAGCCTGGCACCTGAAGCCCCCTGGCCAGCTCTCCTGTGGCTGCGTTTCCATGTCACACCTCCACATGGATCCTGACCAATGGCTAGGCCAGATGACAAATGGTTGCATCCTTCTGACTTGGGGTGATGTATGTTCCCCGAATACTGGCTCTCTTCCTTCTCTTTCACAAGACTAATTTCTGCCCACCCTTTGGAAGTTCAGTAGAGCCCTTCCTGCTTCAGGATACCTTCTCTGGCTCCTCTGGGCTGGGTGGAACCTGCCTTCCCCCAGCTCTCCCACATCACTCTGTTTCTCTCTGCCATAGCACTGATCACCCTGGATTATGTCTGTTTATGTCTCTGTCTTCCTAAATGGCCTGGAAGCTTTTTGACCTGTATTCCAGCACCAGCATGGTATCTGGCACACACTATGCTGTGAGGACGATGACTGAATAGATGAATGAATGAGTGGCTGCAGAAGTTTCAGTGCTGAACATGTGCAGAGTTTAGAGCATTGAAAGGACATCAAGAATCCAACTCAGGGCTTCAGGTATTCATGCAACCATCATGATGAAGATGGGTGTCACACAAGGGGAGCCTCACATTGAACACAAAGTGGTGGATGGCAAATTGGTAAATACAGTGTCATGGACAGCACTGTTTTGGGACAGCACTACACTTTATAAAACATAACATCATGGGAATGGAAAGGTGACCTGTGCTTCAGAGACACCGGTATTACAGAGGTTGGAGGTGGGAGCAAGCATGGAAAATACAGATATTTTAAAACCACGTGGTCAGAGCATGATGGAAGGCATGAGAGTAAGGACACAATGAGAAAAAAAATGAGTTACGGTAATAGTGTGAGAATAGTTCATGGATAGCCATCCAGGCCCTGAATGCTGTTTAAAGTCAGAACTACCACCTGGCATAGAGGCAAAGTATTTTAGAAACTGGGAACATGAAGCCTATAGGCCTATCTAACTCACTCAGTACAGAGAGGATAAAAACAGCCTCTAGTAAATAAGAATGGGCTTCCGTGGAGTAAACCATGGTGAATAGGGACAAGGATTTTAGGAAAGCAGGTTTCAAAAATTTGACAGCTCTATTTTCTGACTCACAATGAAAACGTGGTTCCAGAGGGAAATAAAAATAATGTTTCAAATCTGTAAAAGATCCCAATGAAGAAAAAAAACTCTGCACACAGATTCTAGTCTTTCCAGGTGTGCCACCTCCTGGGGTAGCAGAGAGTGCTGGTAGGGTGTCCTCCCATGCTAGTGGACATCGAGCAGGAGTCCCCACTTTACCCTAGCTCTGGGCTGCCTGGTGAGCAGACCCAGAGAAGTGATGTCTTCCCTGTGGGCCTGGTATATCTCACTTCCTACCTGGTAGCACCAGGCAGTACTAGAAAGTGCCTTTTCTCCCTGCAGGCAGGACCAGCAGGGGACCAGCAAGAACACTAACGGCACCAGGTAAACAAAGTAGACCAGAATAACATTGACAATGCAAGATCTTGTGTCCTTTGTCTTCTGCTGCCCAGGTAGTAGGGAAGGACCATCAGCTCCCACACAAACCAAAGGGCCTGTTTTTCCATCGTGCCCCCCACTCCCAACAGCTCCAAGTCTGTTTCCAGGCAGAGGGTGAGATAGACTTGAAAAGTTTCCTTAGGCTTTCTGCCTTCCGGATGCAAAAGAAGAGAGCTTTCATTCTTCCTCTGCCTGTGAAGTCTGCCAGCTGAATTCACACCCTCCCCTGAGTTGTTGCCAGGATGCTAAAGAACTCCTCCCTGTGGGGTTTTATCCCCTGCTCCTCTGGCTACCCACCTGTGGATCCCCGTGGTGTTAGGCAGGAAGGGGTTGCTTGGGGACCCAGCAAGCTTCCAGGGATTTTCCGTTGCTGCTCCTACCCCTGTATTTCACTTAGCTCATCTCTGTAACTATTCAGCTTCAGGTAAAGTCGGAAACTTCTGCAAACAGACTTTCAGCTTCTCCACTGTGGTGTGTATTCGGGAGACAAGGGTCTCCCTTTCCCACTTCCATGGCTAGGGCACTCACAGTATTTGGGGTGTCTATTGGGTCCTACCAGAGTGGTTCGCTTCCTTCAGAGGGTCTGTGGATCCTCTCAGGATTGCTGGTTTGTTCTTGAAGTCGATACGGAGCTAAAATTCACAATGTAAGCCTCTGCATGCTGCTCTGTCCAGAGCTGAAAACTAGTCATGCTTCCCATCCATCGTGATACCCCACTGCCTCCAAAACAATTTTAGAATGAATAAATAAATTCACAAAGTTGTAATATACAATGTCAACACATAAAAATCAACACGTTTCTATATACTAACAATAAGTAGAAACTAAATTAAAAGCATAATAAAATTGACAATTACACCGAAGAAAATGAAATATTTAGATATAAATCTAATGATATATGTACAAGATCTGTATGCTAATTTTTTAAACATTTTTAATTAAAAGAATCAAAGACCTAAGTAAATGGAGAAATATGCATAGTTTGTAAGTCTACGTATAATAAAGATGTCAATTCTCTCTACATTTATGTATAGCTGTAACACAATTTCTATTAAAATTTCAGCAAGATTTTTTTTGTAAGTATAGGCAAGCTGACACTTAAATTTATATGGAAAGGCAAAAGCCCTAGAATAGCTAAAGCAATTTTGAAAAGAAGACTAAAATTTGAGGAATAAGTCACCTGATATTAAGGCGTGCAATATAACTATAGTAATCAAAACACTGTGGTATTGGTGGACAGATAGTCATACAGATCAGTGGAATAGAATAAAGAAGGCAGAATGAGATGCACACAAATTTGCCCAAGTTGTTTTTGACAAAGATGTTAAAACAATTCAATAGGGAAAGGATAGCCTTTCAACAAATGGTGCTGGAATAGCCGGCTATATATCCATGGTCAACAAAATAAAACAAATGAAAACCGTGGCCTAAACCTTATACCATATACAAAAATCAAT